ATTTAAAACAGTACAAAAAATTAAATATAAATATAAATGCAGCCAAGAGATCTTAAAAAAAAAGTTGGTATCAGCACAACCATGAAACAGGGCCCTTCGCATGCTCGGGGCCCCAGGCCCGGGCATAAAGCCAGGTCTTCAAGGCCTTCCAAAAAGCCAGAAGGGTCGGGGCCATCCTAATCTCAGGAGGGAGGATGTTCCAGAGGGCAGGCGCCACAGCAGAAAAGGGACATCTCCTGGTCCCCACCAGCCGACATTCCTTGGCTGATGGGACCCAGAGCATGCCCATCCTGCTGGACTGGATTGGGCAGGTAGAAACAACTGGGAAAAGACGGTCCCTAAGGTAACCTGGTCCCAAGCCATGAAGGGCTTTAAAGGTGACAACCAGCGCCTTGAATTGCACCTGGAAACACACTGGCAACCAGTGCAGCTCCTGAAGCAGTGGTGTTACATGTGCCAAATAGCTGACACTATTTACAAGCTGAGCAGCTGCATTCTGTACCAGCTGAAGCTTCCAAACGCTCTTCAAGGGCAGCCCCATGTAGAGCATGTTGCAATAGTCCAAACGGGAGGTCACGAGGGCATGAGTGACAGTGAGTAGAGCCTTCCAGGAATGGGTGCAACTGATGCACAACCTGAAGGTGTGCAAAGGCCCTCTTAGCCACGGCTGCTACCTGCTCTTCCAGCAGGAGCCATGAGTCCAAGAGGACCCCCAGATTGCGCACCGGATCCGTCTGGGGCAGTGCCACCCCATCCAGAACCAAAGATGGAAAAACCTTGGTATGGGAGGCCCAAACACCCAAAGCCACTCAGTCTTGCTTGGGTTAAGCCGGAGCCCATTGCGCTCCATCCAGGTCCCTAGAGCCTCCAGGCACTGAGATAGGTCATCCATGGCATCACTCAGACAGCCCAGGGAGGAGATATAAAGCTGGGTATCATCAGCATACTGATAATATCTCACACCAAACTGTTGGATCACCTCACCCAGCAGCCTCATGTAGATGTTAAATAAGAGGGACGAGAGAACCGAGCACAGTAGGGGCTATGGACTAGACCTCTCCCCTCCTACCAACACCAACTGGAACCGACCCCGGAGGAAGGAGGAGAACCAGCACAACACAGTGCCGCCAACCCCCAACTCCCGAAGCCGGTCCAGAAGGATACCATGATCGATGGTACCGAAGGCCATCGATGGTACCGAAGACCATTTTGTTTCATTGCACTGTGGCTATGAGTGAAACAGTGAACTTTGAACATTTTAGCAGTTGGTTTTGAAGTTACAAAATGGTTACTTTTTCAGTGTTTAGATGCTGTGTTGTCTAGGAAAAATAAAAGTTCTAGACATCAGACAAACAGAAACATTATTCCCTTTCTGAATAGAAAAGGGGGGGCTGAGAATAGTATACATCCAGTTTATACTTGTTTATAAGATAAAAATAGAGGGGAGAGATATGAAAAGGAGAAGAAAGAATTTAAGAAAGCCAGAACTGAAGTCAAACTGTTGCAGAAGATCAGAATGATGTATACAAGGATCCAGACTGGAGAAATTGAAATAAAAAAAGCTGGAAACTGCTTTATTGATATTGGTGGTTGAAAGAAAATAAGTTTAGCCAGATGGGTTTAGCTTAGTTAATTATAATTTGCACTTGCAGTTATTTTTAGTAGTTCTATTTATCTTAGTGACCTACTAAATCACAGTATGCTAGATAAACTCCAGTCTTAAAGTCATTAACATGGTAATGAAATGTTCCTTACACACTTATATCACCAAGTGTCAAGCACAAGTTGATCCTCATACTAATTTAGCTTGTAAACTGTAAACAGTCTTGCAGGCTGGCTGTAGCTGGGGTAACTGGGGTATTTCAGCAGACTTTTCTTGTTAGAAATTCATATGGGTGTCTACAAACTGGAGGTACCAAAGTAGAGAAAGCATTGTGGCTGCCGTGGTCTAAAATGTTTCTAATGGAAAGGATTGCTTTTATTAGAACTATCCTGGGAAGCATCTTCCCATGTTTCCTGTTGCATTCTGCTAGAAAATCAGTCAGTCTGCAGAATACTCTTTGCTGGGTTATGATCTGGGGATGAAGTATCAGGATAAAATTCTGCAGTTTGCCTTTTATGAGATACTTCCTAGGGACTCTGTTTGACACAGCTGTAGATTACATACAGAAAATGTTGGATAATTTCATTTCTTCAAATGTGTTTACATTACTGCTTTCAAACCAAAGTATCCATTCAATTTCAGATCCACTGCTAAGAGACTATTGGGTGTATGAAGGCTCTCTCACGGTGCCACCCTGCAGTGAAGGTGTTACATGGATCTTATTTAGATATCCTTTAACTGTATCCCAAGTACAGGTAATGGCTGTGCTTATGACCACAGAATGTAATTCTCAGTGAAAGGTTACAGCATGCAAATATTTTGCAGGGCATTATACTTGCTTTTTCCTGGAAATCTCATTAAATCATTCAGTTCATGGCTTTTAAAATAAAGGTTAAATCATTTGTGTTACTAAAATGGAAAGGTCAGAAATGAAGAACTGTTGTTGCCATTTTTCTCATATATTATAAAAATCAGAACTTATTTACCAGGACAGAAAGGAAGAAAAGTAGAGGGGGAGGGGGGAATAAATAAATAAATACCAGCAGCTTTTAAAAAAAAAGACTTCATGCTTGTTTCCCTTAAAATAAGCACTAGCAGATGTTTGAACAGATGTGCAAAATAGCCTTATTTGTGTGCTTGGGGACCTAATGCATAACGAGGCTATCCAGTATTTGATGGCTAGTTTTGCTCTCTAGAGCCATCCTGTGCGCCAGCATGTTCTGTAGCTGACATGGAACTTACATGAGTCTAGGGGACAATTACCCACACACATACAACTTTCTGTGCGAAACTCTCGTGGAAGGACATCTTTGAATGATATACTATACGTGCTTCCTTCTTGCTACTATCCATGTTGGCAGGAGGGCACAATTATGGTATTGCGAACAAGGCTGGCAGGCAACAGACAGTTAAGGGTACATGTTATGTTTAATAGATAACATGCAGGTCACCTGTTATTTTTGTTTTAAATAGAGGAAGTGTATAGGATACTAAACCAGTCCAAGTTAATAGGGTTTCTCGCTTTCAAAACTCCTGTCTTATTTCATTTGTGTTGGTGACAGGCAACTGTGTGTCAAACTAGTTCTCGGGTTTTTTCCGAATAACTACCATTTTTATTTTATTAGTTTTTAAACTCCCAGAGGACTCTTTGTTGTTTTTGTTACAAAAGACTAACCTCTCAAAATTGCTACAGTGGAAGACTCCAGCTATATGGAGCAGAAATCCATCAGCTTCACAGATATTCCCACTCAGATAGACAGATACCATACAATCAAATGTGAACCACAGGACATTATTTCTAAGTGGCTGCAAATGAAAATCTGCTACAGTCTGCTTACCACCCAGAATTAGGATGACAGATAATGCTGTACATGCCAAAGTGTACTGAATCATCTGATCAGCATGTTTTAAAGCTAAGAGTGCCCCAGTATCAAAGTTTTATGCACATGTTTGGCTTCAGTGACTTATTATTATTTATCAGAAATGCCCCATCATATTCTACACTACAGAAACTAATAGTTTCTATGCAAAATAAGTATCCGTACACAGTAGAGGAATAATTCATTATCAAGGACACTCAGTCATTTACCTCAGTGCCTTTTAATAAAATAAGATGTCTGCAATTGTAGTTGTCTTATTTAAAGAGGTAGAGTTTTGATGCATTAAATTATGTGTTCAGACATTCCAGACTTCTTGCCACAAAATATAAAATACTGGTTACCATAGTTCTATATACTTTAAAACAATTAGGAAATCCAGACAGCAATACTTTCTTTACTTAAAATAAAGAAGACTTAGAAATCTCATTAGGAAAGTAAAAAAAGAAAGTGAAAAATCTGGGCTAATGTTACATATTAGGAAAACAAAGGTAATGTCAACAAGCATGGCAAAGATTGTTCAGTTTTCCTGGGCTAAAGAATAGATAAAAGTGGCAAATAAGCTGGAGGAGGAGATCAATCCTAGGGAAGAGATCATGGAGGATAAGGATATTGCTATGACAACAAAGATCAGAATAGTTAAAGCAATGGATGTCACGATAGTATTGTATGGCTATGAAACCTGGGCATTGAGAAAGAAGATAGATACATGTGAATTATGGATGTGGAGATAACTACTAAGAGTACCATAGTTGCAAGAAGAACTAGTCAATCGATTTTGCACAGAATAAAGCCTGACCTTGAAGTGATGATCAGCAAACAGAAACTTACATATTTGGGACATGCGATGTACTCAGGTGATACACTAGAAAAAAATTATAATGCTGGACAGGGTTGAGAGAAGTAAAAAAGGAAAAGACAACAGATAATCTGGCAACTGGATGGCATCAAAGACATTACAGGGCTGTTTTGGAAGAGCTACGAAATATTGCTGAAGACAGTTGAGATAACAAGCATTTGTCCATGCAGTCACCAGAAGAGAACATTCAATATATGTTTATTCGTTGTTGTTTTACTTCTTTGCTCATTATTTCTGCTGCTGCTACTACTACAACTGTCACCACCACTACTGTTAACTCTCTGAGTGTCTTACATAAGATCAATTCTAACAATAGTACATCATTAAAATAGACTGTTTACAGAGGTTAACAATAATGGCAGATCTTTCCTTCATTTTTTCCTCATACCTCAGTTGATTATAATGTCTTCCGTGGTGAGAAGGGGAACAATTCCTGATTGGCTACAGCAGGCTGGTTGTTTTTTTTCTCTCCTGTGTTCATGGCACTTTTTTATGATCCCTGTGAGGAAAGAAGAGACTTGTTTTCCTCACTGGCTGATATTTTCTCACCAGCGTGACTCAGTAATGCTGGAATGATTTTTCTCATTTTTTTTTCTGATTTGCTTTTTCTCTTCCATATTCTAAAAATAAAAGACTTTGAAATGCAGTTGAGAAACTATCTTCATGCATTTTCCGATATTTTAATTTCCTTTTCCTATATGAAATGTAACTCTCCATCTCTACAGGGGACTGCACAATCTGGAGCCCTCCATTATGAATCTGAATAATTTCTGGCTACAGTCCTATTAGATTTGCCTTCCAAAATTTAAAAACTCATGATCATAAAGAACTGAAATCTTTATTCAGAATGACAGGTCCTGCTTGAAAAGAAGATATATTTCAACAGTACACTATATATAATATTGAATTTATAAATTTACTTTGGTCCTTTTCCTTCATTTCAACTCTTTTGTGGTAAAAATAGGAACCACATCCATATAAAAGAAAACTACTAAGTTGAAAATAAGTTCCATAAAGAAATTATTTACTTATATAGTCCCAGTGATTCATTTTAACAGCGTATTGTTCTCTGGAATAGTTAGATTTTGCCCACCCTCTTTTATTTCCCTTTCCTTATTTTTTTGCCATTAAAAGGTCAGTTTTGTCATGGTTTTCCAAAAACTAGGTTGTCTCATTGTGAAATACAAGACTCATGTTATGATTAAGCTAGAATATTTCTCATGGATTATCAAAGCTTAGCCTCCAATTAGAATAGCCACATGTCTTTGATGTAGTTGGTTCATTCCAGCCTTGTAATCATGTCATAAGACAAAGGAATGGAAAAGTGCTGAAATGTTGGCACATTCCCAAGTTCATAATGGAACCTTTTACTTCTGTGTTAATCCAATTTCTGCTTGGAACCATTGCTACTTTGGTACAATAAAGTCCATAGTACCTCAAAAGCCTTCTTCAAAATGCTCCAAAAGTTGATGAAATTATAAACTTTAATGTGAGAGAAGGGGAAACTTATTAATGCACTGCGAGTATGTGATAAACTGTCTTTTTAAAATTTAATTTTAATTCAGTTTAAATGTGTTCTTGGTTACATAATTTTTTTTAAAAAGCCTTGTATGCCATAACAGTTGAATGGTAGGATGTATATTAAATAAAGAGAGAAAAAATAAGTAGCATTTAAAAAAAAATATATACCTTTTACAGTGGAACTACTAATTGAGGGAGTCAAATGTCTATTTCCTTCTTTTATTAGATAGAAGAGTTTCGAAGACTGAGGACACATATTAAAGGGGCAGAGCTCTTAGAAGGTTGTGATGGAATCTTAGGAGATAATTTTAGACCCACCCAGCTGCTTAGTGACAGAGTCATAAGGGCTGCTTTCCAGTAGCAGAGACAGATAGTTAAAAAAAGAAAAGGAAACGATGTCAAAATATAGGTAAGTGAAAAAGCAAAATAATGAATTGTGTGAAATATTACCTCTGTCCTCTGTCCTAACTTCAGCATAATTTGCATTAAAGACATATTCATTTCTTTTGGAGAAGTGGAAATATATAGTGTCTGTACATTGTATTTTGGCCAGATTTTTAATATGATACAAAATCATTTTTAGATTCAAAGAATCACAGAGTTGAAAGGAGACATTTATGCCTTTAAATCCAATCTCCCACTCAGTGCAAAAATCTCAGTATAGGATTCCCTGGCAAATGGCACTTGGCCTTTGTTTTAACATACCCAATGAAAAGGAGCTCACCTCTTTGGCTAATGGTTTCCATTTTTGTCAAATTGTTCTTACTATTACAGTTTTTTCTCCTAATCAGTTGGAATCTGCCTTCCTTTAACTTAAATCCGTTATTCTGTGTTTTGTACTCTGGAATGACAGAAAATAGCCCTTGACCTTCTGTTTGATGCTCTTTTCAGACATTTGAGGAATGTTGTCACATTCCCCCACAATAGTCTTCTCTTCTCAAGGCTGAAAATGGCTAATTACTGTTGTTGATGGCTTTCCTAACTTTTAGGGCAAGTCCTTATAATTTAGTTTATAAATTAAAAAATCTGAAAGTAATGAAGTTTAATATTTAACAGAATCACATAAAATTTTAACTATGTCAGGGTTTTAATGTTTGGAGGAATAAGACAGTCCTTATAGCACGCTTAGCTGAAAGTTAGGAGGCTAAGAAAATAATTTTATGGTCCTAGGCCTATCAGCTAGATCAATTCTTACCCTCTGATTGTGAAAAAGAACTCTGATCATAGAAAGGATGAAACTTCCACAGCTGTTACTATGTTTACCTCAGACATCTGGGTTACAGATATTTTCTGGGAGACAGGAAAAGTAGTGGAAGGATGGTTATGCCAACAAAACCTTCACATCTATAGAATCTACACCCTCCTACTCCCTAATACTGCCATAAAGGATTTCCTTGCCCATTAAGGAAATAAATGGCAGACTTTCAACATCAGAGCTCTCCAAGCTACATGTCAGATTGCCCTCCAAGTTTAGTTACTGAAGAGGACATTCCGTAACTGTGAGGCCTGTGTCCAATTTTATGATGGGCCAAACAACTCAATTCCATCTCACAAATGGAATGACAGTAACTACTCTATAAAATGCTGGTCTTAGAATGCTAACATAATTCATATACAGTAGTTTTTATGATTATAATGGACAAAATAATGTGGGTGGTTGAAATATTAAATTCCACAAAATCCCTTTCCTTAATCCTGTTTCTTCAGCAATTCTGGGTCCAGCAAGATGAGATGTTGGAGCTCCATGACTGGATCATCTTTTAATTCTGTGGAAAGCAGCTTCAGGATTCCTGAAATGGATTGGGAGCACAATGCTGAGAAAGATGGAAAGTAATATTTTGCCCACTGGATCATTTTTAAAATTTAAATCCTCTCAGTTGTTGCTATTTGTTCCATTAGGAAAAAAATATATGTTTCTTGGTGTTTCCCCTAATAAGGGAAATAGTCCTGAAAACTGGGGAAACTGCCACACAGGAAATGTTTGGAGGAAAAATTTTGAATCTGTTCTGGCAAAGAATCATATGGGATGTTCAACAGTTGATTTTGAAATAAATGATAAAGCTGATTTTGGATCTTCAACATATCATTTGCCTTGTTTCTGTCTGAGAAAAAAATAGTTACATTGGTCACAATTTTTAAAATAACTTGCAATTTTAGAACCTAATAATAGAACTGAATTTAGAATATATCATGGAAGGGAATATTAAATTAGAATTGTAGAATATGAATGCTATGTTTTTCATATTATTTTATCCCACATTGGTTCAAACATTTAATCTCATGTCAAATTGCATTTAGTAATTTTGCATTATTTTGCATTTTGGCTGCATATCACAAAAATGCTAGTCAAAATTACAAGATAGTAGGGTTTCTGCAGTATTTGCCTTCATTTGTGGTTGCAAATTATTCTAAGAATTGATTTGGACATCACACTAAGTCATATTATAACATAGCAGTAAAGTTACTCGCATAGAGGTAGCTAACAATGAATGGTTCCATCTATGACTTGTTAACTGTATTGCACAAACCATGAACTCTGACTTACAATTTTGGCTTGTTCAAACAAGTGTTTTAATTACATGATGAACACAGTGAAAAATATATTAACCATGATATACTGTTATTTTTCACCTCCTAGACCCTTGATTCTGATTTGAACCAGTTGATCTTGCTTGAAGATTCTGTAGTGTCTGGACCTGCCTAAAACATATTAAGGAGAATTACCCTAGAAAACTTTCTGAAAAATAGATCATATCTCTGGACACTGAATTGGATTTTTCTAGCAAGGAGCCTGAACTCCCCTTTGAACTGACTTAATCTAATATGATTTGCTTCAGTAGAGATGGCTGAAGATGCAATGTGCGGCCGTTCATCAATTACATAGTGTAAAGATATAATCTTGAACCCTGTTTCTTTCAGCTTCATCTAAAGGCTTTGAGACCACATTTTGATTTAACAGCTTACATAAATTTGAGCTTTTATTGGAATAAAGATCTGTGATATTGCCCAAGGTTCTGCAGACCTTTCTTTTTACCTTGGTTCTCATTATACTACTTGCTTGAAAATACTTGTTACCATCTATAGTTTTCCAACTGCTTCCAGTCACTTCCAATAGTCTGGGTCAATCATATGTATACTCACTTGGTATAGGACAGCTTGTGATTGACTGAGTATAGTATATGTGCACATTAATGTTGTTATATGAAAACTGAATTTAATGGCTTCCTATAAAGGAAAAATGATTGGACCTATTTCAGTTATGAGCCCATTTATGTTCTGTCTTACAAGCAAAGCACATAGCAGTGGAACTTAAGATAATTTGATGTGTCCACTGACAAACAGCAGAGGAGTGACTTCATTCTTGAAGTGCTAGGTACTATGTGTCCATCACATTGTCACATTTTGTCACATAAAGGGCTGAGTTGTGAGAAAATTGTTTTGTTAGTTTATTGATGATTGTAGAATCTGTTGCATTGAATCACTCATTGTTAAAACACTTTGAAATGTTTTAACACTTAATTCCTTTTCTACCTTCCACCCAAAATAAGATACGTAGGACTCTCATATTTATGCTATGATATGGAGGAAAGATGAAAGGGGATCCTCCAAAGAACTTAAAATTACTATATCTTCTTTTAAATATATCTCTGTATTTTCATGCCTGCATCATTCTGACAGCATATAAATTATTCAGATATTACACAAGAACACAGAGGATTTTGCAGAATGTAGTTACTGAACATGCACTTACACATGCATGTTTGATATAGCTTATGAAAGAAAGCATACACATGAAGAATTTATGTGAAGGAATGAAATATTCAATGAGTTTGTGTTTGTTTTCTGGATCTAAAATAGTACCTTTTTGTTTAAAGACTACCCTGGACAGAAGGACCACTAATTTAGCCTAGGGATTTAATCTTTAAGGAACCAAACTCAGAATAAAAAGAAGAATAGAAATTAATCTAAGATTTCTGATTAATCTAAAGGTTGTCAGAGGAATTGAAAATATTGTCCAATAAAGAAACAAAACTAGAAAATAGAATTAGAGATGAAAAGAATTTCAGGAACCTAGAAATGAAATTACAGGTAGTCCTGGCTTAATAATGGTAATGGGGACCAGAATTTCTGTCACTAAGCAATGTAGTCATAAAGTGCGACATCACGTGATTGTCGCTTAGTGACAGCAATCCTGGCAGTCCCCATTGCTGTTGTTAAGTGAGGATTGTAGGTCATTAAGTGAGGACCTCCTTGCAACTTCCTGCCAGCTTCCAATAAGCAAAGTCAATGGGGAAGCCGGCTGGAACTTCGAGAACTGGTTGTAAGTACCACTTGTTCAGTGCCATTGTAACTTTGAATGGTCACTGAATGAGTTGTCATTAATTGAGTTGTCACAAGTCCCAGGCAGCTCACAAGCAGGCTGGCAGGTGGGTAAGTGGTTGGTTGGCACAGTGTGGGCACTGTAGGGGGTAGCTGCTGCCAAGTGCAGGAGGGCATGCAGGCAGCTACCATGGTACAAGCATGCCCAGGCAGGGGGCGGCTGCTGCCAGGTACAGGTGGCTCATACTCTGTAGCTGGGCTCCTCGGGAGGAAAAGTGGTGGGAGCAGGAGTGACTTACAGGAGTGACTTGTGCTCTTTCCTGCTGCCTTCTCCACTTACTTTGATTGTGGGAAGCTGGCAGGGAAGGTCCCAAATGGTGATCTTGTGACCACAGGACACAAACAGTTGTGCGAGCTGGTTGCTAAGCACCCAGATTGTGATCATGTCACTACGGGGGTACTGGGATGGCTGGAACTTCAAGAACTGGTTGTAAGTACCACTTGTTCAGTGCCATTGTAACTTTGAATGGTCACTGAATGAGTTGTCATTAATTGAGGACTACCTGTAAAACACGATTGCATTAAAAAAGTCACATTGGAGAAATCCAGTGGATTGAGACCAGAAACTTTAAGCTGAGAGAAATGGAAACTTTGCACTGAAAAGTGTTGGGATAACTGGATGAACTTACCCCTATTATGTTTTATTTGCTCTTTGGGGAGAAAAGGGGGGTTAATTTTGAGGCAACTTCTGAATAAATCTTTAGCTTTTCTTTACTATATCTTTAAATAAAAGTAAAAATAATAGAATCATAGAATGTGTGAGTTGGAAGGGACCATATAGTTATGAGCAGGAACCATTTTGCCATCCATGAGAAATGGTCATCCCAGCCCCATTACTCTAGCAAAGGAAATTCCATCAATGTTCTAGCCAGTTTGTTCCACTGCTTAACATTTTCCTACATCAGGAAATTCCTCTAATACTCAATCTGAATACCAAGGACTCAACTTTATTCTGTTCGCCACCCAGGTGGCTATATAAGTTTGTTTAATAAATAAATAATAAATACATAATAATAATCGTAATTTTTTCCTTAACATTTTATACTTTTAAAAAATATTGTAGATTCCTAGATCCTCAGCTCCAAACAGAAAATTTCTGACAAATAATTATTGCTATATTAGAGTTGTATCTGCGGCCCGCTAGTCAGCAGCAAAGAATTAGAGTTTGGTATCCCTTTTCTGCCATCTAATGGTTATGTTGAATTCTGCACCCCATAGATTGTAGCCCTAGCTACTGTACTATGTATAATATAGAATATTTCTTTATACTGTACATACAGTAACTGTGCATAAAGACCCCTTTAAAATAGGGGTTGAAAAGTGTAGAGAAGAATCTGTGTGTTACTGATAAAGACTGTTCTTTTAATGTCCCACACATTTTGTAATGGCTGCTTTCCAATACACTTTGGCTTATAGTGATTTACAGTATATGTTCTTGTGAATATACTTACCAGTTAAACTAGTTGACTTCTGCACATTTGGCATTTTAATAGTTTTGATATTTCTTATCCAAGAGCAGATATTTTGTTGCCATTCAGATATTTTCAACTGTAGCTTCCCTCAGCCCCACTCAGTATGATTGATGGCAAGGAATTGTAGGAGTTGTGTTTAGACCATCTGAAGGGCACCAACTTGTCCAGCCTAGAATGAGACTATATATATTTATTCTGCCCTGTTTATTAGACATCTTTGTAGAGTTCTGAACTATGTTAAGTAGCTGCCCAACTAGAGGAAAAAACCTTTTGCACTTGAGATTCAATTCCTTTCCCCAAACATTAATATGATAGCAGGGACTGGCTTTTACAAGTCATTCTTCTCTCTTTCCTGTTTCTGGAATATAAACTTAACAGCGATTGGAAAATATAAATATTAGTTTTAGAAAGTAAATAATGAAGAAAAAACAATAGCCCATTTAAAATACTTTTGTGTATTCATAATAATTAGTTCTGTGTTTTATTTTGCTATTTTGTATTACAAAGTAGGTTGGTTTTATAGCTGAGAAAAAAAAATCTGTCTTGCCTATTATTAAAGCTTGTGGAGGCAGAAGTTCAGTGGACCAATCTCCATCAATTCAAATTCTGATTAATGTTTCAGATGGACAGTTGAAAAACTCTACCTTCTGCCCTCAAAATATGTTGGACTTCAAATCCCATGATGCCACCAGCAATAATCATGCAGGTTGCGGAGTTGAAATATGTGAAGGGTATCAAGCTATCACTTGTGCTTTAAGAAGTAGCCTAATTTATCGGAGCTTTCCTCAAGGACAGCTCCACAAAGAGCAAGTTCAAATAGTCAGTTCTTATAACTGCAAAGACAGAAGGGTTAATTTGCATGATCCTTTATTTCTAGGAGCAGTAAGTATCTCAGAGTTAAAAGGCACTCTTTGCCACTTTCACTGCATCCCAAGGAGCAAAACTATGGTGTTCGGGACAAAATGAGACTTCATGAGGCACCAATCACAACTCCACCAACACTCACACAGGACAATTCACATTTTCAGAGGCATTTTGAATCAGCCTCCAACTTGTCTGGATTATTTATCAGTTAATAAGTTCCCATCCACTTAATCATCACCTACAGATATTGGTTCGTGGAGAAGACTACTGCTTTATTGATCCATAAAATTTCTGTTCCAATAATCAAAAGAATTAAAAATATGGACAGAGCAGTTTTTAATATAACAAATTTGTATATGTGTACAGTTTAAAATCAGATGGCCTGATTTTCAATTCAGACACACTATAGACTGTTTAAGAAAAGCAACATGTATGGATAAGACATACTGTAGAGTAGGTTTCCCCAGGAGGGTGTCTTTTAGATGTGTTCAGGTTACAACTCTTAGAATGGCAACAATTCTGCTCTCTCTTTGGTTGGGGAAGGCTGATATAGGCTGCTGCTGATTCTGATTAAGTTTGATTGTATAATATTATATCATCAAGAATCTACAAATTAATTTTTCAGTACTTCAGATACATAATAAAAACTCAGAACAATTTGTGATCCATCAACATGTTTGTAACCAAGATTGGTATATATCTCTTATTGATTGATTGATTTGATCTGATTTTATTTGTGTTCCACCTTTTGTTCCACCATTTGTGTTCATTAAAATCATATTTAAATATATACTGGAATACAAAGCATGAAAATCTAACTAATCCAGAAAAACCTATCAATAGCAAATTGATTGCTAACTTAATTAGCTTTCCAAGAAAGAACATTGTTTTCTTTAGTAATTTCACTAATATACTAAAATGACTATTCATGATGGACTAGTCACTTTAGTATAGAATATCTTTACTAAAAAAATCTTTGAAGTGGCTGATAATAGGTATCATTTATTCAATGGATCCCAGATATTTTTTAATATTTTGTAATTTTCTTCTGATAATGTTATCTTTCAGTCTAAATAAGGTCATCTAAGTAAGGAGGTCACACATACCTTTTATATCAAAATATTAATTTAGACAAAGGAATATTTCAGCCTGGATTTTTACAGTTGAATGATTGATAGATTGATTATGTGTCATTAAGTTGTGTCCACTCTTAGCAACTGGACAGATAGATCTCCTCCTCCTCCTCCTCCTCCTCCTCCACTTTTGCAGTATTAAAGACCTCAAGAGAGCTAGGTC